GATTTGTTTATAGTAAATAATATGACATCGAAGAACGAGACCTTTAAGGAGATCGAAAAGTTGGGGATTACATTTCTCGTTTTCGATGATAGCATTTAGATGTTCGTCTGTTTCATAAGTGCTTTCAGTAATTATAAATGTCTTATTCTTGATATCTTGCTGACTACGAATTCGTTGCATGAGTATATTTTTGTTAGAATCATAGACTAGTGATGTATGAAGTAATTCATGTTTGTTAACAATGAGTTGAAGAGCATGACGAAGTTGATCTACAGATAAAATATCTCCTGTGTAGAGACTATAGAAGAATGACATATTGTGGATCGTTAAGGATAATTGATCAGTATCGGCATCTCCTTGATTTTCGGGCCATATTCGACATTGTGCGAAAGATGCTGGTGCTATAAAAATTAAAATCTAGTTCGTTACAAAGAGTAATCATGATAATTAATTTGATCTCTCATAATATTATTGGCACTTTAGTTTATCTATTGTCTAGCGGAATTCAATCAATATTGTTGCCAGTTGCAAGAGTCAACAATGTCATATATAAAGATATGATCCATCTGGATATGCATCAAAATTTATAAAAAAAACTACTGACAATAGTTATCACAAACTTTTAGTAATGAAGTTTCCAAACAATAGAAGAATATTTTCATAGGAAGAAAGAGCTTTTCAGTTATATCGTATTATCTCATTTGCAGTCGGTTCATTAATATATATCCGAGTGTGTGCGACGCGTGTAATATAAATCATGTTTTAGATTAAAACACTTTACTCTGAAAAGAAAACCACTATACAGAAAATTCAAGAAGGTACTGTGAGTTCTGAAATTAAACTAGCTTTTCATGTGAACTTGACATTACGCATAAACTAAAGAGAGTTAGATTATATTCACTACAAAAAACAAAATGAGATAAAAAAAACAGGAGACGAGAGATTTTTCAAAATAATGGTATCTATATGATGTCATCACAGTATTAATCATGACAAGCTCTGTGCGTTTTCATTTCAACCAAAAAGAAAAGATCGTTCAGGAAGCACCACAAGATATCAACACATAGCTGGCCCGAATCCGCTCTCAAAATTAATCGTTCTAACTGATACAAGTGCTTTATGCATAAAAGTAATTAAAAACTAAGCATACCTTCATTAATAATATTTTCCAATCGCTGAAACATTATTGCTTGTCTTTCTTCAGCTTCTTCTGGTAGAATAAGGTTAACTTTTAATATAGATGTGCAATATAAATCGATACAATTCGAGATTGAGTTCGATGAAAAGAGTTGTTCTAAAACATGTTGGAATCTTCGACCAATATTGGTAACTGTTGTTCCATCAAATATATCACGTGAACAAATAAAAGAACACGATAGCTGATTATCATCTGATGATGAATTGTATATAAAGTTCAATGAGAAGTCAAATTTAGACATTTCATATGATTCATTTAACGATACTTGTTCTAAATTGACACCATTTAAACATAAATCTTTACCTTCATCTGATACAATAACAAAATCAAACATTGTTTCAAGAAATGATACTTTCGACTGAGTGAGATGTAAATCACTAAGAATATGTTGAAGTGGATAATGTGAATGTTCAATAATTGATAAACATTTTTCTTGTACATATGTAACTACTTCATCAAATGACCA